TCCATTTTTTCCGTGTTAACAAGAACATATATGTGAATTTTTAATTCGTTTTTAGGATAACAAGATACTCTTCAAGCCTTGAAGAGGACCATTAAGAAAATTCGTTGGAATCCTTCAAATAACTAAGTGGTTGCGACAACTGGAAAGAACCTTCTTAAAGAATTCGTTGGAGCGTTGGTAGGACCAGAAAATTCGTTGGGAATCCTGGCAGGACCATCCATCTAGGAGATTGGTTGAAGCAATTGCAACTACCACCATGGATCGGAAATTATATAAAGTAGATCAGCATGTAAGCATTTTTATTTATTTATATTTATACTTCTACGATTTAAATAATTCATTTTTTAATTCCTTAGAATAAAAGAATGAAGAGCTCATAAGATCACAGAAGAAATTCATTGAAAACATTGGCAATATCACTTGAGAAGTTTATTGCAATCTTTGACTGGACAACCGAGAAGAGTGCGTATGTTTTTAATGTTGTCGACAAGAACATATATGTGAATTTTTGATCCGTTTGTAGGATAACAAGATACTCTTCACGCCTTCAAAAGGAACACTGAGAAAATTCGTTGGAGCGTTGGAAAGATCTGATGATTTTTTGGAAATCCTGGCAGGATCATCCATCCAGCAGATTCTTTAAAATGGACCAGCATGTAAGCATTTTTATTTATTCATATTTTTCAGGGTACACTGACAAACCTCTTACCTATACCTACCCCAATTATTTTCACTCTTCCCTAGTTATTTGACACTTACTCTTACACACATAATACCTACATTCCAATCAACAATCACATGCACTCTCATTAAGTTTTATCCATTATTTTTACTACCTTTTTACCTCAATACTACGTCCATCATATTTGACACCTTAAACATTCTCATTATCTGCAATCCAATACCTACCACCCCAATTACTTTCATTATTCTTTATACACATACACACACACACACACATAATGCCTATCATATACACTATAATTACGTCTTATCCCTTAATTTTTACCTCAATACTACCCCTAATTTATGTAGCACTTAATACATACAATGCAACATTACCTACAATTTCGCATTATCTGCAGTTATATTTTTTTCCATAAATAATTTTTTAAATTTCACTAATTCTCAATTTTCTCTATATTAGGTGTAAAGCAATTTATTTCTATTATTATAATTTTATTAAATTTACAATATTCTTTTCGTAAGGCTTTTTATTCTAAATTTTAATTTTTTACAACTTAATAATAAATAAAACACATATATATCACAAATCATTTATTTATTTTTCATAGTCATATTTTATTTGTTACATATCATTTCAATTACAATAATATGTATTGTATTTTCATGTGCTTGTAGGAAATGTTGCTTAGAAATCATCCTCGACCATAAGCAACAATAACACAGCTACATAACTTCTTTGAACTCCACGAAATCCTTGGTCCTCCCTTCATAACTTATCACTGTCCATTTCTACAACCTATTACATAATACAAACAAAATATATCAATATACACACATAAATATACACGAACTTATAAAACAACAGTAATTATACATAAATACTCTTCCATCTTCATTCTATTGCCCCCATATATTCATTAAATTATTGTTTCCCTTTATATCATCAAAACCTTTCTTAACCCATAATTATTTTAAATCATTAAAAAAAATATTCATTTACCTTTCCTTTAAATCATCAAAACTTTCATTCACATTACTTCCCTTCGTCCGATAATTATCGTTTCCCTTTATAAATAATTACTTGTCCTTTTAAATCTTTATTTATTTACCTATCCTTTAAATCAACAAAATTTTCATTTGTCTGAAACTTCCATACCTTCAACAAATATACACACACACACACACAAAAAAAATAAAATACCCTTCCTCTTCACTCCTTCGACTTATCCTCCTCCTCACTACAACCCGACTCCAACGCCGACGTAACATCCCAATGTCTTCCTTTCCTACATTGACACGGGACACCACCAACACATCACAGATGCGGAGGTGGTGTCTTGTGTCAAATGCAGGAGAGGAAAATAACGGGACGTCACTTCGGTGCTGAAGTCGGGCTGGAACAGGAGGAGAATACGTCAAAGGTGTGAAGAGGAAGGCGAAGGGAAGGGGAAACAACCCAAACCCTCCTATCCTCCTTCCCTCTGGACTCCCCTCGACACATTCTCCTCTACATCCCGACTCCAACGCCGACGTAACATCCCCAATTTTCCTTTCCTACATGGGACACCCAACACCACCACACAAGTGGTGGTCAGGTGTCTCATGCAGGAGAGGAAAATGTAAAGGGGATGTTACAGTCGGTGCTGAAGTCGGGATGAAACAGGAGGAGGATGTGTCGAAGGAGGAGGAAGAGGGAAGGAGGTGGAAGGGGAGGGAAGGGAAGGGAAGGGAAGGGAAGGGAAGGGAAGGGAAGGGGAAGGGAAGGGAAAGAAAGATAGACAGAAGAAGGGAAAGAAAGATAGAGAGAAGGAGATCGTCTTGTTGATGTGTATATGTACAATTGTATATATATCACACGTGTGATATACATACACACATTAACAAGACGATCTCCTTCTCTCTATCTTTCCCTTCCCTTCCCTTCCCTTCCCTTCCCTTCCCTTCCCTTCCCTTCCCTTCCCTTCCCTCCCCTTCCACCTCCTTCCCTCTTCCTCCTCCTTCGTCCCGACTTCAGCACCGACTGTAACATCCCCTTTACATTTTCCTCTCCTGCATGAGACACCTGACCACCACCACCACTTGTGTGGTGGTGTTGGGTGTCCCATGTAGGAAAGGAAAATTGGGGATGTTACGTCGGCGTTGGAGTCGGGATGTAGAGGAGAATGTGTCGAGGGGAGTCCAGAGGGAAGGAGGATAGGAGGGTTTGGGTTGTTTCCCCTTCCCTTCGCCTTCCTCTTCACACCTTTGACGTATTCTCCTCCTGTTCCAGCCCGACTTCAGCACCGAAGTGACGTCCCGTTATTTTCCTCTCCTGCATTTGACACAAGACACCACCTCCGCATCTGTGATGTGTTGGTGGTGTCCCGTGTCAATGTAGGAAAGGAAGACATTGGGATGTTACGTCGGCGTTGGAGTCGGGTTGTAGTGAGGAGGAGGATAGTCGAAGGAGTGAAGAGGAAGGGTAATTTTTTGTGTGCGTATGTTGTGTATAAAAAGGAAAAGAATTTGATTAGGAAATTATTTGTCTAGGAAGGAAATGATGGAGAGATTTGATTATTTATGTGTCGAATGGGGTTCATTTTGGAATTAAGTAAAAAGATATGGAATGGAAATGGAATTATTTGAAATAGAATTGGATAAAGAAATGGAATTTATTTGATTATGGAATTAAATAAAGGATAGACTTAACTGTTTAGGGAATGGAATTAATTAAATAAGGAATATGGAGGATATGTCGAATGAGTTAAGAGGGAGGTTGTACTGTGTTGTGTTATGTAATGTAATTGAAATGTATTATTTAGATGTACTAATATTTATTTATGTTACACATTTACCACTTTAAATGTAAGTTTATGTGAGTATATAAATTGTTTAAAAAAAATGTTCTTGTTTGAATTATTCAATTAATTTATGAATTAAAATTGATATAAAAAAAAAGTAAACCAATATCTAACATGGAACGTAAAAACACAAGGTAAGTATTTGAGTTAATAGGAAAAATTGCAAATATTATAAGAATAAAAACGTATTAAAATGAAATAAATAAGTACATATTAAGAAAATTAGTTAACATTAAAATTAAAAAACAAAAATGAAAATTTACATTTGAAACTGGCAAATGCGCGACAAAATAAATATCTGTTCGTTCGAAATAATAAATTTCAAATGCCCTGGAAAAAACAGATTAAATAGAACAAATAATAAATAAATGCAATAGACTAAATACGCAACAACAACAAGAAACTATATACATGCATTTCTACCCCCATTTTTTGCATTAATTATTAATTTAAATTTAGAAACTTTTACAACAAATAAAAGAAGTTTATCAAAACTATAATACTACTTTCATTATAATATAGCGATGATAGCAAACAAAAGATTTATTAGATTATCTACATCCCTACATGACATAACAATAAGGAAAATCTAAAAAAAAAATGAAATAGTACAAACACAGATAAAAGTCTACTAATCATTCTAAACAGTTATTTACTTCTAATACTACTAATGTAACAGAAAAGGAAACAAATACAACCAAAAGGGAATACTACCTATCTAGACAGAATTTAATAATACGATCTAACAGTTTATTTAATTCATGTCTAATACGATATAAAATAACGAATTAGTAAAACGCGGCATAATTTAAATAAAAACCGATTACAATAACCATTTTGACAGTTTCACCAATAACCTTTACTGTTCTGATCAATATTATTTCGATTATTAAGATTATATTATTAGGTACTATTAATAATCAAGAGTATCTTATTACTACTATTAATAATAAGATACTCTTGATAATGATCACAGATCGAAACATTAATGTCGAAAACAATAAAGGTAATTTGTAACACTGTTTATTTTGATTTTGATGATTATCTTGATTCACATAACAAGCATTCTCGAAAGTTTAAATATTTAAATACTACAAAAAAAAATCGATGCCTAAATCATACTAATTGAATTGAATTGAATATATGCACTATAATCTAATGAAAAGTACGCGTAACGAAGTAACGAAATATAATAGGCAGTTAGTACAAACCAGTGTTCATTTGAAGAGTATTTTTGTGTAGAAATTACGTGAGCGACTTCCATCAAACCTGCGGCAATTACGAATCGTCGGGGTGCTTTAGTACGGGTGTAAAATCCAACGATTCGGTGCGGTAAAAAATGAACTGGTCGCGGTAATAATTGAAAGAAAACCGCATAGCAGACAAAGCCGAATGTATATGTGCATACACTGTACATATATACGAGTATTTATACATAATGTGATTTACGTACATACACACATACCCTGCGTGGTATAGCACCGGCGAGAGACGGGATAAACCATGGACCAGAAGGGCATTAGCGGACAAGGCAAATTAAATAAAAGGAAAATTACAGAACATCAAATGATTACAGGCAGGTAGTGCTTAAGTATTTTATAACGCGGGTAATGATAGGCTTGGAGGCCGGAGCTGCGCCGACGGCCACTATGAGAGTTATTGGTCTTCGTGGACGAGTTACAGTCCTGTCGACGAAATATAGGTTTGTGCGAAAAACAATGTTGCCAACGGATGTAGCTATAACAATTTCAACGATTGAATTAACATTAACAGCTACAACTTGCTGCGGTTCAGATGCCGTTCGAATTTTAACAACGCACTGTAGGATTTCACAAGGATAATCACTTTTGTGACAAGCCTGAAAATATCAGTACGTACAGGCCTCACGCTGGAAGCTGGCGGAAATTTTAAAATGGCATGGATGCGCGGTGGAGAAAGTAGACAGTTTTAAGTATAACGATTGCAGCCCTCTTTCTTCAGTATTTCCTATCAGGGGCGTAGATTAAATATTTAAAAGCAGGTATTAGTGAACAAGTAATAGACATACAAACATAAGAACTAATTGTTGATGTTGGTGACAGTGATAGAGATTTCCATGATGACGGTGAATGTGAAAACTAACAATAAAACAAAAGCAATAGGTATATTTTTTCTTTTTGGTAAGTTATGTTTCTACATTATTTCCTAGTACGCTACTGTCCTATCTGTATCAATACTATAATTTACGCCTACTGAAAGCTTATTTGTGTATCGGTTCCAAATGACTTACCCAAATAGGTCATAAATGGGCAAGTACCTGCGCAACCGCTCACCAGCTTCCTTCGTTCGGCCTGTACATACAAATACTATCAGCGAGCAGGGTCGAATTGGTACCCAAAAATAACAGACACGTAAGCCGATAGACGAATTGGTTCCCATGAGGGACGAATTGTCATTCTCCCTCTTAATATGTACGAAATCCAATTATATACATGTATGTTAAAAATAATATAAACAAATTAATACTAAACATGATTACGTGATTATTTACGATTAGAAATGGACCGGGTACCTGCTTTGGATCTAGTAACCGGCGGATTTGGCACTTTTTTTAGGATCCGGCCGAGTACCTACCACATAATGACGCCGAGTATTCGGAAGCGCCGGGGAATTTTGCCAAAGAAAAAAGAAAAAAAAACATCAGCAACAATAATTTTAAAAGTATAAGAAAGATTCTACCTAATGAAAATTTGTAATTAAAATTGTACTGTTATTAATTAAACGTATTATTAATTGATTACTAAACTAATTTATTTCGTCAATCAAGGATTAAAATTTCATTGGTCCAGTGCTTAAGCGACTTTTTGAACGGGAGTTAATGTGGTTTGGGACATTGGTAAGGGTGGTATTTAATGGAAAGGTCCTGAGAACTAAGACACGAATCATTAACCGTATCTAAAGTAGTTTTGTCGGCAAAATAACTATCTGGTTCAACCCTAGTATTATTTATTGCATTGCGAAAATTAAAACCTTTATGATGTCGACAGTAAAATCTACGAAAACCATGCTTTTAACCGTGGGGTGAAATCCTATCCCTTACTAAAGTAACACCAAATTATTACACAGAATTTTTTAAACAGTGATAATGCGAATTATCATGATTAAAACGGCACTTCTCTAAAGCGAAATAACGATTGAAAATTATGTATGAGCCCCTTTTAGGGGATGATGTCGTAGGAATTTTTAAATCCTACTACTCATGTCGGTAAAGTTTCCTTTACCATGTTTGATGAGTAACCATCGAAGTCATTGCAGAAATGACTTCTACCCCCCATTTGTACCGGCAACGACATCCTTTGCCCACATACGAGAAGTGGGATCGGATAGTCAGAAGACCGGTTTTAAGGGTAAATGCCGTGGGGTCTAACATTTACCCTATTATAGATACCCACAGCCTAACGTTTTATTATCGCTGGAATTGTTCGAAACTCAGGCGCAGCATTAAGGAGGTTTTACTTCAAAAGGAAATCTTTATACACCAAGCAATAATTCATTGCATTACTTGTTGCGCTTACATTATTACTAGTTTCAATAGTAAACGTTCAAACAATACATCAACGACAATAAAACAATGGCTGCAACTTGTATCTGTCGCTGTTAATTTTCTCATAAAAAGGCTGGCATTCAGTTCAAAACGGTGACAAAATAGAGGGGTAAGGTTACATTAACATCTCGACTAATACACGCCGGTGACATTTAAAACGACGACCTTCCCACAGCTTGCTATTTATTCATGTGTGTACTTATAGCATAATAATAACAATAGTAATAATAATAGCAACAACAACAGCACTAAGTACAGCAGCCCAACTGTACTTAATCGTTTTTTGCAATTCTCACTCACGCTCCTACAATTTAATGTCGGAGATACTTCTTAGCGGAAACATACATATATACCATAGTGTAGCTGCATTCAACATTAATTAAGCTGAGAAGCGACCGTACCGAGGCTCTTACTAAAAACTTCCAATTTATCTCATTCTCTTAAAAGCAAATGTCTCCCACACTTGCCTAGAACAATTACTGTAGATGTTTATTGAATGTGAACGCTTAACAAGTTCATATTTCTGAAAATTGAAAACGCAATTTTACCGTGTATTAAATTTCTAAACAAAAATTGAAACCAACCAATATTATTACATTCATTAGCACTTCATCTTAATTATCTTACAGTTTTCAAAAAAATTATTTTAGATTTTTCGATCTGCAAAGAACTACGCAAGTTTTGATAAGAAAAGAGGGTTCCGTCCATTGTAATGAAACATCTTATTCAAAATTCTAAATCGTCTAAAAATTAAAAATTCCTATTATAATGTAAAAAGTCATGTATTATATATTACATACAGTATTCATATGCAGTCATATTCACAATGTGATCAAAATTCGAGCAGTCGACCCTTTCTACCATTAAAATAAAATAATAGAAAAAGTGTTAAATTCTAATTTCATAGATATCATCTAACAAATTAAACAATTAAAATAGCTCAAGAAATAGTCAAAGCGTCCGCTTTATGATTAAATTCGACAGTTTAAGGGCTAAGTTAAATTAAGTTTGAACGGTCAAAGACATTTTACTTACAGCTTTTGTGACTTTTGATCAGGACGGTTCAAAGAACATTTTCGGAAAATTTCATTCGACCAAAACCCACTTTCCTATCAAAAATTGTGATGACGTAATGGTGGTGATACATGAAGACCAATATGTTTAATTACAATTCAATTGTATGTAATGGTTACTTGGATAGACATGTTACCCTCCATCTCGAGGCATGAGTCCTACCCGCATTTTGGTAAAGGTCTAGATGATGGCCCCCACCGCCGAAGGGGGTGGGGTGGGGGGATCGAAAGAGGAGGTCTCCCCCACCACTGTACCATAAAAAGTTCGTGGCGGTCTCACCCTCATAAAAAGTTATGGGGGTTCAAAGTTAATTAATATGCCAATTTTTATATATTTCTAGGCATGTAAATATTTATACAGTCATTCTTAAACAATATTCAAAGG